TAGTATTTTGTGAAAAACGCTTAAAAGCACAAGTCTAAAAACGTGTGTGTGATTCCCAATAGCTTCAAGTAAACTCAGTAACTCTTTGCCTACATTCTAGCACTAGAGAGAAAAACAAAAGAAAGCTAATATCCTCATATAGAGAGCAATATACTTGAGCTTTGATATAGCTTGAATCGGATGAAGCTTTTGATCGAATTTGTCGTTCTTGAAATAACGTTGCTTCATCTCTTGGCCTCCTCCTCCTTTGGATATCTTCGTTGTAGCATATATTCCATCCATCCTCCATTAATGGCACTAACGAGCTTGACAAATGAGTTTACTACATTTACACTCAATAAGCCATTAGTACCGATAATGGTGGTTGTAAGAACATCATCAAAACATAAGGGCTAACAACCTTGAGGTGTCTCGGAACCCGAGACACTCTGAGGTGTCTCGGAACCTGAGACACACTGAGGTTTCTCGAAATCTGAGACACCCTGAGCTCGTCGTTTTGTCATTTTATCGTCTCGTCGCTTCTTTATTCCGTCGTTTCGCGTGTTCCTTTACTTCCTTTTGGCATTAGATATTCTTCTTTGACTCGTATTATGACGTTCATCGTCTTTTCTTTGTCTCGAGCTGTGTTTCGGAAATAGCCTTGGTCCAATAGTTCAGGCGAGGTTCGATCAATTCAGGTGGACTTCAGAATATGTTGCGAAGAACAAGTCATAACTTTCAAACCGTAAGTCCGAATTGGACGAATTATATATGAAAATCGCCTATCTCGGCGAGATAGGACCAACCAAACCAAACTTTACCACTGTCTGTTTCACCAAATTCCCTCCGGTTAGAGAGATATTAGCATTTTCGTCAGTTTTAAGCTTCTTTGCAATCTATAGGTAATCTTTTATGCCTACAACGGCTCAGGTTCAGGATTCGATTATAGATCGGAGACCGAGGAGAGACATATGGTTGCCAACAAGGTATACGGACACAATCATTGTATATATACTTCCGGTAGAGAGTGTCGATGAGATGGTTCCTTCTACATTCAGAGAGGATGAGCAGAGTTCAGAGGTTGATTTGTGGTAGGAGGCTATGTAAGAGGAGATGGAGTCTCTTCACAGGAACAACACATGGGAGCTTGTTGAGCTTCCAAAGGGGCGGAAGGTTATTGGTTGCAAATGGGTGTATACCAAGAAGGAGGGCATTCAGGGCACTTCAGTGAGGTTCAAAGCTAGATTAGTAGCGAAGCGTTATGCACAGGAAGAAAGCATTGACTACAATAAAGTCTTTTCTCCAGTGGTGAAGCACTCTTCGATTCATATCTTGCTAGTTTTGGTGGCACAATATGGTTTAGAATTGGATTAGTTGGATGTGAAAATAATTTTTCTTCATGGTGATCTTGATGAAGAAATTTATATGATTCAACCATTGGGGTTTCGAGCTACCAGAAAGAAGAATTTGGTGTGTAGATTGAAGAAATTGCTATACGGGTAGAAGCTTGTTGCGGATTTGCACTTGTTGAGGTCTTTCGAGGCTATTTGGATGAACTATGGGCAGCTTGATCCTATGAGAGATGGGATACATAGGCAACCATATTCGTGCAACTGGATTTGGAGAGACGACACATCAATGTTCTTATTAGTGTCGGCTCAGTTTTGTGAACACTTCGCCGAGGTGGATAATTATTGGATAGCAGGTTATTAGACCCAACATGATTCCTAGTCTGTTTTGGTTTTAGTTTTAGAATTGTTGGATTCTTAGTCTGTTTTGGTTTTAGGGAATTTGGGATTCCTAATCTGTTTTGGTTTTAGTTTTAGAATTGTTGGATTCCTAGTCTATTTTGTATATATATATATATATATATATAACGTTTTAGAAGACATTATTATCAGAGAAAAAAGAGTCTTTTGAGCACTTTGAGAGGGAGATTATTGTGAGGGGGTGAGAGATTGTTGGTTAGAGTTATTTTGAGTGTTTGAGAGAGTTATAATCCATTGTATTTCTCCTCCATATAGTAAAATATCCCCAACCTCTCCCCGTGGACGTAGGCAATTGCCGAACCACGTAAATCTCCGTGTTTGTGATTGGTTGGTGCCATTCTTTTGTGAATTACACTTGTTGGTTGTTCTTCTCTGTTGTTCGTCGACTCGTGTGGGTGTTTGTTTTGTGCGCATGCTTTCATCGACGTGCAACACCACATACCTATGATTTGTTAGAATATAAAAGGAGAAATAAAAAAGAACATTTTTGCAATTTTATGAGAAAAATCAACTTCATTATGTTTTATTTAGCAAAACTGATACCTTTTCGGCCACGTCATCACAACTGGCTAGAAAAGAGATTGATTTTGCAAAATATAGTGTTTGAGAACATAAGGCCACCAGTCCCATGTATTTAACAATCTAAATTACTGGTTAATTAGAGCTTTATGTGTAAACAAGACTGCATAAAAATAGTTAATTCTTAATTAACGACCTCTAAATATACAGGACTGCTAGTCCCATGTGTTTTGTAGATTATATTCTGCAAAATTAACCTTATTTTGGTCAGCCGTGATGACGTGACCAAAAGGAGAATGATTTTGCTAATTAAAACACAAGAGGTTGATTTTTGTTCATAAAATTACAAAAAATGTCTTTTCTAAAACTTATCAGATAAAAATTTTTGTAAAACCATCAACTTAAGTTCCAGTTTTATTGCAGTGGAAGGGTGTTATATGGAGGTCCTTCAGTTATTAGTTCTAGATGATAACATGGAAGAATTTGATATACAGCCCCCCACCCCACCCTCACGGAGTGATAGTATGTAGAACATGTTGCGGAGGCATTCATGGAGAAACTGTGTCGTTAGAAGCTTAAATGAGAGTCCAATAAAGGAAATTGACTTACAGTGAAAAACAGTCATATATCCAAAATCGTACATCGAAATTGTATAAATAGTATATGAAAATCACGTATTTTTCTAGATGGAGTCAACTAAACTCACTATTAGTCGGTTTGTCACTATCCATTTCATGACGTTCCCTCTGGATTGAAAAATATTAGACTTTTTATCATTTTTATTATTTCGGATAATATTTTAGGAGTTTTTATTATTATGAAACCAATCTGGTTTGCTCTAAATTTAACCGATTGATTTCCTCAATCATAGGTAGTCTTTTAAGGGTAGTTTGTTATTTTTGTTTTTCGTAAAGTTTAGGTCCTAAAATATGATTTCCTTGTATTTCTTAAGGGGTGTTTGGTTCAATTTCTAGAAATTATAGGAAATGTTTTCCACCTAAAATATGATTTCCTTGTATTTCTTAAAAAAATTATAGGAAAAGTTTTGAGAAATCAAAAAGTACCAATTTTCTTGTTTTTTTTACTTTGCTTGTTTGGTTCAAAACAAGAAAATAGCTCATAACTTTATAGAAAATAACAAGATTTAGTAGTTTTTTAATTAAATATGGTATGTGTCAGATTTCTCTGGTGATTTCCTCTTATTTTGAGAGAAAATTGCTTTTTGTAAAATTTGGTAGGTTTTGATATTTTATAGAAAATATTTCTGTAAATTTTTTGTTGAACCAAACACAATTTATAGAAATCTCTGAAAAACTTTTAATTACAAATTTACCATTGTCAAATGTTTTGAGAAAAGTTTTCTCAAAAAGTGTGCAACCAAACAGCCCCTAAGAGTCTAGTTTTTTTCTATTTAAGCTTAGGATTGTAAGCCCTAGAGGTATAACTTTTTATTAATAAATTTTTTCTTATATTATTTTCTTGGTGGATTCGAAGATCGTTTTTTGTAGATTCAAAGAACAACATTTGGTGGATTCCAAGACCTAAATATGTATTTTGATTGGGGTTTTAATCCCAGATAAGTATTTCAGGTTTCTCCAAGGGTTGTGAAAAAACCGAAAGAAAGAGCGGCTTGTAAAGATATCTAAAAGCAACATAAGAAAATTGTAAAGAAAAAGCTACTAGGATCAAGATTGAATAAACTCAACACTGATGTATGGATTATAACAGATTCCTCTGATGTGCCGAATACATAGTTCTAATTATGGGTGGAACTTGTTAAAAATCTCGTGTCTCTGGTTTGATTTCAGTATTTCTTTTCTTATCGAGCTTTTTATCTGTCATTGAACTTGCACTGCAATCTGCGTGGTTTGCTGATAGCATCGTAAATCTCTAGCAAAGGGAGTAACAATCTGACATGAAGTGAATTCTCTATCTTTTAACCTGAGAAGATCCAAACACATCCAAAGTTTAAAAGCTGATGGCATGTTGTTCCATTACTACGTGCACACCCCCTGTCCCCTCTCCACATGCTTCACCATATCTACGCCATAACTACAACAAATGCCCCCTACGCCTCTCTCTTCCTATAAACACCCCCTCAAATTTCCCTTCCTTCATTGAGCCCTCAACCTCTCTAAACAACAACAACAATATGAAGTCCTCACTCTTCCTCCTCCTCTTCATCCCAGCCCTCCTCCTGAGCCAAGCTCCGACCACTGTCCGGTCCCAGACCTGCAACCCGGCCGAGCTGAGCCCTTGCTTGGGATCGATCACTGGTGGTGCACCACCGACAAATGGATGCTGCAACCAACTGAGGAAGCAGCAGCCTTGCTTCTGTGGATACATGAGGAACCCAAGCTTGAAGGGTTACATTAGTTCTGGCAATGCTAAAAAGGTTGCTTCTACTTGTGGAGTTTCCCTTTCAAAGTGTTAGATTGGGAGTACTCTTGAGTGGTATTAATAACTTGTGTTTGCGTTGTATGCTTATGTTGTGTGTTTTCAGTGTCTGTGTGTTTCGTTTGTAGCGCTGTATTTCATATGCAGTGGAATAAGATTTCTAATTATTAGGCATTGTAACGCTTGCACTATTCACATGGGCCTAGACTGCGAAAAGAGGGCCCCCACACCTCAAGGTTTATTTGACAGGTGATTTTAATAATAATGAAATAATTCATTGCTTAATCAGATAATTATATTATAATGATAAAAAGAATAACAAACTCTACAACAAGCTCAAGAAACTTGATAGACTCTTATTAAACTTCCTATTTCAGTCTTTTAATACATTGTTTATTGCATGTCGCACAAGTTCAGAATATATAACAAAGGATAGTTTCTAAAATTTCATACTTTCCTAAATTTGGGCTTCCCCTTTTACAGTTGATGCAGGAGAGCATCTAGAAGCCTCATTGTACCTTATTTGATACTCCGACACAACCAACGTTCATGCAAGGACTCTAAAACTGATTCTGACAGGTGACTTTGATCTGGAAAATAAATAATAAAATCAGTCAAAAAAAATCAATATACTGTCTATAATCAGAAATTTGCAAAGTATATTTACAATCAAGAGAAAAGATCCGCAACCAAGACAATTCCTTCACTGCAAGCACATGATCATTTACTTCTGTAAAAATTAGATGATTGATAACTATTTGGCAAATATTGCGATTCAGGGAGGAACCAGATGCTGGATTAGTATGCATTGTTTGTGTCATAATTATCCCATTAAAGTGGAAATTTCTGTGCATTTTTTATATATAAACAGAGTAAAGAATAATTCAGGTACACCGCGGGGATAGTAGATAAAGATATCAAAGCATAATATATTCGAATGATGAAATTAAAATTTAAAAGATGCAACTCGGATTGCACATCACCATTCCTACTGCTTGCTAGACTTTACACCTTTGTGAGGTTCTATAAATCAAGAAGAGTAAGATGCAAAAAAGAAAATTGCTGCCATAAAAATAAGAAGAGATATAATTTAAGAATGTCGCCAAGTATGCAAAGTTACGTCACTAGGTTATGAGAAGTACGGAACTTTGATAGATGCTAAACTGACATTTGATCAATACAAAAGCAAAGGTAGGCTTCAGATAGATAGTTCATTGAAAAAGAAAGGGAAGAATAATAACTCACCAGTCAAATGTTTGACCAATGAAGAAAACCTCCATGACCTCTGGAATTGGTGAACTTGTAGACAGGACCAGAGACTACAAAACCAAGAAGTAATCATGTAAAGTATTGACACTAGAGAACTCAATAAACAGTAATGCCATATTCCAGTGCACAAACAGAGCTATTTAAAGAGAATCAACAGCCAAGGATAAACTTTAAGAAAAGGGTTAACTGTAGTTCTATTGTTGCATATGGACCCCTGAGGAATTTTTTTTTGGCTCTTTTACCCTTAGAAGGTCTATTTGTCAAAAAAAAAAAAAACAAATTTCTCTTTCTCTGATGGTAAAGAGTTAAAAACATTGTACTAGTGAGTCTATCTGCAACAATAAAAGTACAGGGGATCTATCCACATTTTGGCCTACAGTACGAGGGGTCTATCCTCAATTAACCGTTAACAAAAGTTTAAATATCTGCAGTATTACATACACACAAAAAAACTATACCTTCATAACCCTCAAATACCGGGTCATCAGATAGAAGAAGTGGCGTATCAAGATCAATAAAGCTGCGTATAGGATATTGCAAAAACTATAAAACACGGGATATCAAAGGTTTGCGTCAACAATACAAGAGATGTAAGTTTTGGAGGGTAGCATACTCGAAACAACCGAGACCTGCAGCAAGATGACCAGCAAAGCCCATGGCAAGTCTAGTTTCAACCATACCACCAATCATAAGTCTAATGCCAGCATTTCTTGCAACATTAATAATCTCAAGAGCTCCAAGGACCCCTGACTTAGCCAGCTTGATATTGATAACATGAGCTACCTTTCCTTTTACAATTCTATGTGCATCATCTACACTCCTACAACTTTCATCTGCAGCGACAGATACGCCGTATTTCTCTTTGGCTACGTCACTAACCTGACGAAGACCATCCCAGTTGTCTCTATGAACAGGTTGTTCGAAAAGCTTAGGAGTAACCCCCATTTCTGAAAGAAATAAATAGCAGTAATAGAATCCATCAGTATAGAGAAAATTTCAGGATAAATAATAAAAGATAATGAAGTACATTTATATAGAGAACGAAAAGCAGCTTAACCATCGGTTATAATACCTACAATGCTTGATGGATGTTAATGTTGGGAATTAATAAACAAAATATGCTAGAAAATGAGCTTAGCAGTAATGAGAATGTTACACCTTGTTTAGATGGAGGTTAATGGATGGAAGTTAAAGTGAAATTTCAATTTCATCTTGTCTAGGAGTTTTTTTGAGGGGTTAGAGGATGGAATGGAAGGTTAAATTTCCTTCCATTTTCCTCCCCTCCAATTTGGGGGATAGAGGATGGAATGGAAACCCATGTAAAATTTTACAATGTGACAAGACAATTATACCCTTATGACATTAAAATCAATGGCTAAGATATACTAACATCCCATATGTAAGGGTATTTATGTAACTTTATACATATACACTTCACTTTCCTCCTCTTTATTAGAACCCCCAAACAAAGTAAACAAATTTAATTCTGTTCCCTTTACTAAACTCTCAAACAACATTTTATCTTTTCACTCTCATTCCCTACCTTTCCTTTCCATTATTTAACTTTTCGTCCCTTCCCTTAGTAAACTCTCAAACAAAGCATAGGTTATCTGATAAGAAATGAGCACAATCATAGGACGTTAATGGTCATTCTTATCGGATAAATTATAAATTAATGAAGCAAGGAAGACGAAAGGCCTAAGAGAGTTTCGTTATAAGCTACTAAGAAGGGTACAATAATGATTAACTTAATAAGGAGATAGACCTCAAGAGAACGGAAAGAAATCTAGGATTCATGTAGCAGATGCCAAGAATTATGGATAAAAGGCTTTTTTATTAATGTTGTTATTATTGCAAAGTAGCAAAACATCATACTCACAAAACAATACTTGAGAAACGAAAATGGTTGTGAGCAAAAAGACCCACCCTGCATGTTAATTAGTGGTACCTACCAGCAAGCTTTTCAAGAACTTCAACTGCTTCATTCGCTGAATATCCTTCATTAGCATCCAATATAAACTCGCAATCGGGATGAACTGACCGTATCGCTTTCATAACTTCGATGTCTGAGTTCAAATCCTTTCCCACCTTCAGCTTCAAAGTGCTAAACCCTCGTTCACGATATTCTGAAGCCAATTTAGCAGCTTCATTTGGGGAAACAATTGGAATCTGTATATATTTAAATTTGCTTTAAATGCATTTCGAAACAATGAAGGAAAAGAACGCTAGTTTTTTTTAAAGGAAAATAGGAAACTGAACTGTTATGTCAGTGGTTATGGAATTTGATGCTCCCCCAAACAATCTCCAAAGAGGCAAGCGAATGCTATTAGCGATTGCATCAATAAGTGCCATCTCAACTCCTGCTCTTACCTACAACCAGAAAATACAACCGTAAACATTATTTAGGCGGTAGAAAATTAATCCCTTTTTCTTTGAATGATAACATATGAGATGACAAAAATAAAAAGTAGCACAGTTCACAAGTGTATTAGCTGGCAACAGTAACAGGCAACACAAGGGAAAAGTTATGAGAAGTGATAGATCCGCAGATGAAATGGAAACATGCAGAAAATATTTCAGGCATGTAAGCTAAATTTAGGATTAATTTCAGAAATCCCTAATATTGGGGGGTTTTCCACAGAACCCTCATAAACTTTTTTTTTATCTCACAGATCGCCCTGAAACTTTGCGGTGTTTCACAAAATCTGCATGATATATAAACTTTTCTCCTTGGGCAACTTACCAATAATTGGAAAATAACTAAAATGTCCATGGGAGAAAAACCCATCAATTGCTCTCAATTACATTTTAGTTATTTGCCATTACACGTAGGGTCCTTTCGGAATTTTTTTTAAATTATTGAGTTGCTCATTTTGATTAAGGATTGATGTCTCTTTATAAACAAGGTCAATTGACTGCTTTATAGACTCCAATAATTGATTGTTCTCGCCCTTTATTATAAGACAACTATTATGGGTGGGATCCACTTCAGAGCTTTTAGCACAAGCGACTATTGATGGCTGCATAAGTTGAACTGATTGATTGATTGCTCGTTTTAAAAGTTGCATATATTGTATGGTTAGTGTTCTGTTTCTTATGAGTCGGTATAATTATTATTTTGGACCTATTACAAACTTGATATTGAATCATTTATGTGTTACTAATTTGATTCATTTTGGCGTTTAAGTTAATGAAAGTGGGAGGGCAAACTAATCAAGACAATGATTGCCAAAATAAGACAAATCAACATGGATTTGGATCCTCTCCACTACAAAAAAGTAGTGGAGAGACCACTGCTTTTAATCTCAATCGTTGATTATTTAGTAGGCGGTTATGATACAATTTAAATCTAACACTTACCATACCCCCGTGTATTGCACTCATTCCTAATTTACACTAAAAGAAAAAATCACAACCATTAACTACATAATCAATGGCCGTGATTATGTAGTGGTCCCTCCACTGTTTTTTTTGTAGTGGAGAGGATCCGAATCCAATCAACATGACATCATCAACAAGAAAAAGACCAACCTTGTTGATGTTCCCCTTTCTTTTCATTTTCTTCCTTCTCTTTTTGCCTTTTTGTTCTTTCCCGTGTTGCATACCTTTCATACAAATCAAAATCTGATTTAAGAAGAGATAGAGAAGGATCTCGGTGTTGATTTTCTAGACGATTCACCTCTCTCGAAAGATAAAAGTGGAAACTAGAGAGAGAGAGGGAAACTGACGTTGGGACGCTGGAGTTATCTATAGCAAGGATAGTTTGGTAATTGCACAACCTTAAATTAAAGACTGGCTCAAAAGATTTGGGGGGGGGGGCGGGGGGGGGCTATGCAATTTCCATGATTCGAGACTACTATCAAAATATGAAAGATTTGAGGGACTAATATGGAAATAGCCCAGATGGAAGAACTCACAGAGGCCAACCCATGTCCAGGCAAAACACGCCCGATCTCCTGCGACGCCAACCCCAGCCTCACAGTCTCACTCCCAACAAGAAACCGACACGTGTCAGAGGCCCTCTCAAGGGCAACCGGCTGGTCCTCGGCGGTGACTGACGGCAGAACCGGGGCCTCGCCCCAACCAACTGACCCATCCCTCAACTCGATCTGAACAGTGACGTTATTGACGGCGTCAAGCCTTCAAGAGGCGATAGTGAAGGGGGACGTTAAGAGGGCGGCCCTCCTCACTGATGTAGAATACACAGCAGACACGTTTATGTTAAAGTGGGACAGTCGTAAGCCCAAATACGGGCCTGGTAAAAAAAAAAACTAGTTTCGAAGAAACGGCCGTAACTTTCAAAACGTACGTCGGAATAAGACGAATTATATATGAAAATCGACTATCTCGACGAGACGGAACCATTCAAACTGTGGATTCGGTTTGCGTTCTCCGTTTCGCTAAATTCCTTACGGTTTGAGAGATATTTGTATTTTTGTCCGTTTTTTACTATTTTTAGTAATGTTTTAGGAGTGTTTTGTTTAGGAAACAAATCCAATTTAATCTCAGATTTGACCGGTGGACTTTCCTAGTAATAAGGAGTCTTTTTAGGAGTTTTAATATTTTAGGAATTCTTTTACTATTTTTGGTAGAGTTTGACTGTTTGTGTAGGAGTCTTGTTTCTTTTTTTCTATTTAAGAAGAGTCTTGTAAGCCCTAGAGGCATAACTTTCGATTAATAATCTTCGTTTTTCCTCAATGTTTCTTCGTCGGTTCGAAGCTCTTCGTGGATTCGAAGATTTTCTTTGATGGATTCCGAGGCTACTACTTTCGCGCTGCGTCACGCACGGCCGACGTCGACGTCGGAAAACGTTTGCTTCAGGCTATGGAAGCCCATAGATGCCGAAGCTGAAGAGGAGTTTGTTATTTTGAGGTTCCGATGTGGGACTTTTTTTTTTTGGGAGAAGGGTAGAGGAGCGGAGACATTGAGAGCGGAAGATGCTGGTGATGATGGCATCGGGCGAGAGTGAAATGAGCAGGTGCTGTTCTTTCTATATATGTTGCCCTACGCATGCTTTTGTTTTATGTATTTTGTTTTTGTTCGGGGTATTCTGATGAAGACCATATGACATGCTTAAAGGATGCCTGCTTGCGGCCGAAGCACGGGTAGTGATAACTAGACTATTTTCCTCAAACTACTTTAAGAGATAAAGGGCTGTTTGGTTCAATTTCTATAATTAAAGAAAAGAAAAATAAATGTGCTCAAAATTTGATTTATTTGTATTTCTATAAAATATGTATGAAAAATTTATGGAACTCAAAGAGTACCATGTTTCTTGTTTTTTGCTATTTTTTTGTTTGGTTCAAAGAATGAAAAAGTTGTATAAATATTTCTATAAAATACCTCACTTTTCCCTACTTTATAGAAAATATTTCTATAAATTTTTTTGAACTAAACATAGTTTACAAAAATCTACAGAAATCTATTATTTACAAAAATGTCATCGACAGGTATTTTCTTAAAACTTTTCTATAAAATGTGTGAACCAAACACCCCAAAAAGTGTGGAGTTTGTTCTCTTCAACCTTTTTGATGACTCGTTGAAGGAGCCCACGTTTTTCTTTTGCGTATGAGATCCAGTAGTTTGGAAAAGATTAGTCTGGTCAGTGTAATTGGCATCAATTGCTGTCAAGGTTGAGTATAGAAGTACGGAAGAGAATCTGTAGCCTGTGGGGGTCGACATCAATAGTTGTATCACGTATAGATCTGAAACTCTTTGAAGTATTGAGAGATTCCATACTTTTATTAGAGGGTTTTAGATTCCATAGTTTTAGAGTATCAGACAACTACCTGTTGTCACTTGTCAGCATACGTATCAATATATTTAAGCGTGAGAAAGACAAAGCTATCGGTGGTCGATGTACATCAACGTCCGTGCAGTTAAGTGATTGCCGAGAGGATTTTAGGACTTAATTTTATGTAGTTTCAACTCGAATGAACTAGAGTTTTGTTTCTTAGTAGTTGCACAAAAGCACACGTTGAATCACCTAGTTGCGGTCCGATTGAGGGAAGATTGCGCCTCTAATTTGTGAGTATAGCTCAATCATTTATTCAGTGATCACGAAGGGGAAAGCCTACCAAAAATGTTAGTTTTGGCAGGCTTTCAACCCATTTCCCCTTCTAAAAGAGGCAATCAAACGCTCCCTAAACCTTAGTCCACACGGTAACTATGGGAGCAGTATAGCATGCCAACCATCCTAATATAATAGCTTTCGGCGTTAATTTTAGGTTTAAGAGGCATGTCGGAAGTACATGGGTCCAAAAATTAGTGACGGTAGAATTTTGGATTAATAGACATAAAATCCTAATAGATATATAAAAAAAAGATGACAAATACATGTCTAATTTATACGAAAAGGTTGCAATATCACAAAGAAAGAGGGCTAAGGAAATAAAATATTAAAAAAAAACAAGGTGCAAAGCAAAAATAAATAAATAAATAATAAACAAAAGAACTCACAGAAGCGAATCCATGTCCGGGCAAAGCACGCCCGATCTCCTCCAGGACCAACCCAAGCGTCATGGGCCCACTCCCAACAAGAAACCGACACGTGTCTGCC